CCATTAGTCAAAGATTCTTTTTTTTTTTTTTTCCTGAGAAAAAAATAACTTGTAGTACCTGACAAAGATTCTGAAGATGTTAGTCTAAACATAAGTACAGTATCTTGTGTCTCCTTTCTCTGTTTTTTACGTTTTCAGAGAGGAGTCTTTAAACATTCTCCTGATCTTCTTGTCACCTTTTTACAGCACTCCTTGAAAAAATCTGAATATCCATCCCCTTTTCTTAAAACCCTTTAATGGCTCTGCAGATGTACACAGAGAGAGGTTGCTGTCATGCAAACTTGAAGTACATCACTGTTTCTCTACGCTCTCTCTATTTCTGCTTTTGCATAATAATTTCTCTGAGAAAAAAAAATGACTTTTTCACACCATGTCAGTCTAATGATCCATGAAGGATTAAAACCTTTCTGGTAATAAATAATAACAGCAGCAATGATACAATAAGCATGATACATCCTAAAATGTTTGAATCTTGCCCTTATTTTGTCACCTAAAAGTCATATGGTAATGTGATTTTTGAAAGTTCAAGATGTATGCTTTTCCCATTATCAATGGTTAGGTGATGTTTCTGTCATGGTGGAAATCTTTTTTCCTGAATTTCCTTTCACGCTTTTTCTAGTGAATAATACCAGTATTAAAAGTTACTCTTAGTTCAAATGAGTGACTCTGCTAGTATAGCTCTATCTACCTAATCTGGTATTCCTAGAAAATAAGTGCATGTCAGTATAAAATAATCTATGAATTCCCTTGGACTTTTGGATATTCTGAGTATTATGTTTAATTCATCCAATGTAAAAGTTCCCTATACAATAAGACACCATGCTATCTTTTCAATACTCACCTTTTATTCTTCTATAGCTTGTGTTTGTGAGTTATTAAACAGAACATTTATATTTTCCACTGTTCAGAGTGCACAGTCAAACCATGTTTTTGATTTAGGTTATAATGGAATTTTGAAAAACATGTTTTAATGGAATTCTTTTCCCTGTAAATCTTACCTTTTTTAAAGAGCTACATTTCCAGCTCAAGGTCTATTTCCTAGTCCTGTCTTTCAAATCCAAGGAGAGGAAGGCTACCCTCTCTTAGTGACAATGCAATAAATAAGTTTGTCCTTGGCCTGACAGAAGAATCTTACCTTGTGTAGAGCTATTTTTACCTTATTGGAAAGAATATTGCCTGCTTTATACTTGTCTTTAGGTATCTTCAGGATATGCCTTTAAACATTTTAGCACATATCATATTATGTCCATTTTAAACTTCATAATAAATTTGCATATAAAATAGTTTAAACTTACAGAACCGAGCTGGCAGAGGACATTGTTCTGCACCAATCTAATTTCTACTTTAAAGCTAAATTGACTGGTTTAAGTCACTGATAATGAGGTACAGAGCCTTTTACAGCTTCCATGCTAGGTTACCAAGCAATAATTGCCTACAATAAAAACAAGATCTGTTTTTCATCTTTAATTTGATCCTAATTTCATAGCAGTTATCCGTCGACTGTTGACTGGGTCACAAAAACCTGTTGCCCCCATTAGCTGCAGCAAACTGATGAGCACAGTGAATGAATGATCCCTCCTGCGCATACCTAAAATGCAAACTGCAGTGAAGGTGACTTGGAAGGCCATTAAGTGATAAAAACTGCTCCAACTTTTGTAAAAGTCCTTCTGTCAATGGCAGAATATTTCTCCTTTTCTTTAAATGTTTATTTTGTTGTTAGACCTGCAAAATTTTTTAGTTGCTTCAACTGCCTTGAGGTTTTTCTTATTTATTTCCCTTTACTCCTTTCACTTTCTGCAGAAGTGTTTCATTTTCTGCTGAGTCTTATTAAAACTGATAGTTTTGTGTTGCTGTCATTCTTCCACAATGCATATCAATACAAGGTGTATGTCCTGAGAGAAACCCATTCTTTAGCTAATTTCCGAAGAATGGGAATAGCCACTGTGGAGAGAGCTGCGCTACCTGGCAGCTCCTTTGGATCAGATATATGAACGGTTTTTCCAGGTTTATAACTTCTCTCAGAGATCAAATACTACACTGAGCTAATGTAAATACGCTTGCAGTGTAAATTTGACATTCAGAAAGCACTGCACCAAACCCATTGGATTTAATATCTGGCATCATCAGTAACCCTGGAATTTCTTTACTATTTCTCTTTTACGGTGGAGACCACTTCTGTCTCACAGGTTGTACACTAATGACACTATATAAAATTTTTTAATTTAATCACTTCTTAGCAGTAGAGGAAATTCAGTCACTCCTGCCACATGCACTCCAACTGAATTTGTTTTGTGTGTTTTGCATGTTTTGCATACATATTGTTAATAGTAAGTTACAGTAGACATGGTGTCTGGCACTTTATATTTTTGCAAAGTGGACAATGCTGTTTCTTATGTTAAAGAGTATGGGAGTTGTGTAGCTGAACCCCAGGAACTGCTTTAAAAATAAAACAGTATGTGTTATCATTTCTGCCACTAGCACTGAGATAAGAGCAAATTAATCTTTCAGGGCAAAAGATGAACACCTATGGAGCACAAGAAGGCATTTTCTTATCAATCAACTATATCCATCATAATAAGATGAAGGACAGACTCATTCTGTGTGGGGCATTCTGACATGTCACATGTGTTACAGGTTTATACTGCAGCAAGAATACTGCACCAAAGGCTGGTGTGGCTGTGTGAGAGGTTACTGTTCTCACCTCTAAAGCTGGATTCTGTCAACCCTTTCTTTTGTTATCTACCACTTCAGAGTTTTAAAGTGAAATGAAACGAGTTTGTATAAATTTTTGGTAGCAGCCTTATTTTTTCACTCTGAATAGATATAAAATGGCTAAGATTTGCAAGAAAGTAATTAAATTATTCATTAATTTGATTTTTCCTTATTGTGCTTATTAGTTTAATGTGGGGGAACTACAAGCATGATCCTTAACCTTTCCTTCCTTTTAAGCTTTTCTACATTTATTTGTTTTGAAGATAAATTCCTTCTTTTGTACCTGCTAATCCTTTTTCTGCTGTATGCTAAGAAGAAATCCAGTTCAGAACCAGCAGATAGTCATAAAGAGCTGAAATTCAAAGCTCTTTGATACTTTCCTCATTTAGTTTGAAAATAATTGTTTTGAACAAATAGAAGCTTGAGTCATACATAGTACTTTTATTTTAAAATAGGAAAGAATATTTTTGTTTTTCATTTGATTTTAAAAATATATATATATTTTCCATCACAGTGAGCATTCAAAGCAGGAAATGGGAAAAAAAGATATCCTAAGGTTGCTTTAACTAATAGAAAATAGCATTTAATCACCTGAGGACTTAACTAAGAAGAGTTTCCATTACAAGATGTTCTCCCATCCAAACTTTTCATGCAGGAATGTACCAGCCCACTATTTTCTGAACACAAAATAATAATTACTTTCCTGCAGAATATGCTGTCAGGTAACATGCATTAGGAGACACTTTCAAGAGAAATTACACCAGAATGTATTATAATCCATGGCATGCTTATTTTAAAATGCAATACAATATTTAAATTCTTAATTATGTATTGACTAGCAAAATTTTTCAAAGCTGTGTAATGTAATTCTAAATAAAAAAGAAAATTCTACTGGACCTTACATACCTTTTCTCTATTCAAACATGATACCTACTTCTGAAATCAAATCACTAATTTTGGCCAAAGACAGCACAAATTTAAATGTATTTAAATTTTCGCATTCCGCCTGTGTCCAAAACATAATTTAGGAATGAGAAAAAAAAAAATCAACTCAAATTACTTTTGAAAATCATTGAACTTCAGTTTTATACTCTACTAGGTCTGGAGGAAGATGTGGAATTTCAGTATCTGACAGAGAAATGCCCACTGAGCACAGTTGAGATAGGAATAATTCTGCTCCACCTGTTCAAACTGTTTGGTGCTGTCTGACTCATCCCAGCACTTTGGTCTGTATGCAGAAATTAGGGGATATGGCTACAGGTCATTCAATGCCAGTTAGAGAAGCTCCCACTGGCCCAATCTACTCATATTTCTGATCCTCATTTAATGCTTGCTGAAGCTCCTGTATCCTTTTCAAAGATATCTTGTTGCTGCTCTCTTCACCTTGATCCACATCAGACAGAAATGTCTCTAGAAATGTTCTCCCTGAGAGAACAGAGGTTTTAAACACCATCACTGGCTCTGAGGAATGGGTGAAGACACCAATCTGATGGCAGACTTGAACTTTCATATCTCTTCACTACAGATATAAATGTTAACTATCCACCATAAACATAAATCCATATTCAGTGTTCTGTGTGGTAAATGGAATAATAGGATCTTCTGGTTGAGAGGCTTTAAATAATCACAGTGAATGTTCATAGCAGTTCTCTACAGCTTTATTCAAAAATTTTTGTTCCAATAGTGAAATATTTCTTACTGCCCTGATGGAGGGTAACTTTTGGAGGGAAAATATGTTTACCCACAACTGGTTTGGGCTTATAGTACCAGAGAAATCAGAAGTATTTGAAAGAGTAAATGTGCTATAGAGTAGATTTGGTTTTAGAACTAATGTGTTGATTTTCCTTTCTGCCATCACCATGTGCTGTGTGCATTGTCCAAGTGGTGTCTGCAACATCATCAGTCTGGATGTTAGCCAAGGTGTTCTCTCCAGTTTTATTTCTTCCTTTTCACTGTGTATGAATCCCTTCTACTGAGGGAGAATATCAAGCAGAATATAGTAAAAGGAAATAAAAGCACTATTAAATGTATTTGCAAATGGCATATATATATTGTCTGCCACTATTTTTTAATACTGTATGCAAGTGCACTAAAAAAGGAATAAAGCGCTGATGCAACATGGAATTTTTTGTAATGGAAATAGAGTTATTTTCCAGGCCCTCCTACTATAGATCAAGATATGAAAAAAGGAGCAGTCAGCTTTAAAAGAGGAAATAAAATATAAGCCACAGTAGCCACAAAATTTAAAATCTTTGGTATGTAACAAAAATGCTCTGTTCTTTTGATAGATCTGGGGAATTTTAGCGGTCGGACAAGAAGTGCTGTATCTGTACGTGAAGGTCAAGGAGTTGTTCTGATGTGCTCCCCTCCACTTCATTCTCCAGGTACAGTAGGCTGCAGCCTGTATTCATGCTCCTCCTTTACAGTTTCCTCATTATTGGATGCCCAGGATTTTAGCTACAATATGTATTTGATTTTGGAACGTCAAAGATGAGGTATCCACCATTCTTCTGACAGTTTTTGGAGTACCAAAGGACTAATTTAAGCTCATGTATTGCAAATGCCAATGAATGAGCAGCAGAGTTTCTGGCATAGAACTTGAATGTAACAATAGCCTCTGGTGAATATGCTGCCTTGAGGTCACAGAAGATTGCTTTTAGTGTTTAGAAGCCTTCAGAAATTGCTCCAAATTCTAATGTCGTCATACTTCTATTGCATACAAATTTTATTTTCTTTTGATTAGTAGAGACATTATTTGGTTGCTTCCTTTCACTTTATAACTTAGTTTCATAAAACTGCATCATTGCTAAAATTCGGAATTACCATAAATTCTATGAAATGCCTGTGGATTCCCAAATAAAAACATACGTATTCCAGAGAGGTTACTTTTTTGCTTTTCAAACTGACACTCCTGCAAAATCTGTAGACATCTAGGTATATCCTTATATTTGCATGTCATATAACACCTGGAGACACGATGCTAGCCAGAGCATCTTGTTTTTCAGTAGATGCAGTATAGCCTTTCTTTTTCTTCTCTGGGAAATTATGTCTGTACTGAGGGGATTTTTCTACTCCAAATTTTTGGCCTGAAGAAAAGTAACATTGCAGATGGAAGATCTGCAGAAAATAAAATCTCCTCTGAGTTTCTATTAGAGAAATGTGTTCAGTATCTATTTATTCTGTCAGGATTGTTATTACTGTATTACAGTTATCAATGCCATCTCTCTGCTTTTCTCTCTTCTGAGCAGATTCTCTTGTGGTTGCCTCTACAATCTCTTTCTCAGTTTGACACTGCAGTCTATATGATGCAATTGAGTACATGATGTTAAGGATAGATAGTGATAAGTAAACTGAGAGGGAAAAGATGTAGGCAGAAAAAGTGAGCTATGGTTTCAGCATCATAGCTGAATTTCATTTCCCCAAAACAAACTGAGAGTGAAAGAATAGATTGATATCAATCAAGAGTGAAATTTTCATACACCTTTTAACAGCTGCCATTCCACAAAATACATTTTTATATATCATCACACTATTTAGAATTATTTTCCTGAAATTATGCTTCTGAGTTTTATTTAGTCAGATTTTAACCATGTTCTACTGCAACATAGATGTTGCCTTTGATGGTGAAAACAAGTACTTTCCTTTTTCGTCACTGGGACAGAAAAACCCCAGCTGTGGAAACTACATTGCTCAAAAACAACATTCAATTGTTTTAATTTATATTGTTCGAGTACCAGTAGGCTATGCCAGCAGGAAAATTACTTCCAAAAAATATTTTTATCCTCTGTTGACATAATTTTTTTCACCGTAACTAAGCCAGAAAAGGTCCTACAGAGTGGTGGAGTAATCTACAAAAGCTGAAAAATTGCACTGATATGCAGATGCAAACACAAGCTCCTATCAATGGGAAAGGGATTTGGCCTCCCTTCCTTTTGTTCATTACATAATGCAAGCAATGCAGTTCTTCATCCAAAGAGTTGTCAAGCACTGGAACAGGCTGCTCAGGGAAGTGGTGGAGTCAATTCCTGGAGGCATTTAAAAACTGTGTAGATGTGGCTCTTAAGGACATGGTTTATTGATGGAACTAGTGCTGGTTTAATGTGTGGACTTAATGATTGTAGAGGTCTTTTCCAACCTAAGTGACTGTGATTCTATCACAGGCAATTTACTTCCAGCTCCCTACTTGCAAAGTACTGGGGGCCAGTAAATTCTTGTGATACTGCAGTGGGACTGCAAGTGGCATTAATACAATGGCTGGACTCTCCCTGGAAAGTGGAGAGCTACCTCCACAGGCCTAGTGGTGTTTCGAAAATAAATCCAAGTAAAAAGGTCTTTTGCCAAGCAGAGGTAATTCCAGGATTTGTGTGCAGGAATATCTAAATTTTTTTTAAGCATTCAATTTCTCAGTACTCCCATTTTAGTTTCTGTGTCTGATTTGCAAAGATCGTATTATCTTCTAAATAGCCCTATGAAATTTTGAACATTAAAATCACCCAGGAAACAAACATTCAAGTGGGTCCTAAGATGTTATAGTGGATATGTCTAAGCTAAAGTGTATTTGGAGCATGTTTGCAATGTGTGAACATCTCAAATTACCAAGACCATGAGTTATGGAAGTGTTTTTGATGATAGAGAATTTTTTGTGGATGAACATTGCAAGCTTTGCGATATTGATTTATTCACATTGATCAGCACCTTTAGAAATAATTTTCACTTACTTATCATGGGAGATAAATCCATGATACAATATCAAGCCCAATAATTCTCCACAACCTCGTAAGCAATTTTTCCTTCAACAGAATCCCATTCCTCAATCTCTCCAGTCAATAACTGCATATGAATTTGCCCAAGAACTTCAACTTGAGCCCTTTTAGACAATGGCATTATCAGTGTGGGAAAAGAAAGATGACTTAGTGGAAGAACACCGTATTAAGAGAGATATAGTTTTATTAACACGTTTTCTAATGGAAAATATAGTATATACTTTTGATTAAATAGTACCTACATTCTATTCTTACAGAAAACAATTTCAGAAAAAATCTGAAAGCCTTTACAAAGCACTACGGACTGAAAAAAATACTCAACTAATATCTTTTGACGAGATTTTAATCAGAAAGGCAATTTCATATGCATATAGACTTGATTTATGTTTATTTATGCTGTGATATATTATCAAGAGGTAATGCATTAAACATACAAACATACATAAACTTGTGATGTATTTATATTGTCCATATATATGTGAACAGGCTTTCATTAGATTGTTGTCCAAATATTTCACAGAGAAAATAAGGGGGAATGTGGGGTGGTAAGCACACCTGAAATACATTCTGAATATTGCCATGCAAATTCAGATGAGAGGGAATTATCTCTTTAGTTTAATAAATGAGATTTTTAAGTTATTGCCATCTTTGCTGAGAAATAACAAGGCAACAAACTGAGGGAAATTTTTTGGAGACACATTATCCACTCCTTCAAAATGGTGAAGAAAATATATATTCAATGAAAAGATTTTTCTGCCAATTCCTTATGTCAAACAACCACCAAGAGATTGTCACCTCCTGCTTTTCCTGGACCATTGCTCATAAAAATTGCTGCCTCTAACTTCCTTGGGAGTCCTGTATCATTTTGATGTGCCTACTCCAGAAGCTTTCCCACTAGCGCTGTTTTTGTTGCTAATCCTTAACTTGTCCCCTGTGAAATATATTAAATGTGGATAACTTGATCATTCATAAACATAACACTTTATCTTTTTTTCCTTCCACAAACACTATATCTGATTCTTTCCAACTAGTTTTCTCCAAGAGTGGTTTCCTAGGCAGTTAACTCTTAGTTGTCCTTGCTAAGCAAGAATTACATTAATTACTGACTGTTTAAATAACAAGCTTTGTTTGATGTTTCCAATTTAAACTGCTGCTACTGTTTTCTTTCCATAAACAGGATTATGGTTTTTCATTGTGGTATTCTAAAGGATGTAAATATAGGGTTTCATTCAGTCATTTAATCATCTTAATTACAAGGTTTACCATACCAAGATTAAAAATGAATGGAAGTTTTCATCCAGATTTACATGTTTCCATCAGAATAAATACTTTCAGCTGAGCTTTTTAAGGCTTTTATTCAGGGCTTTCAGTATGAGCTTAATGGAGAACGACTATTCCCATTGTTAGAATGAGCAGAGCTCTGATGCACACAGAGGAAGGCAGATGTGTGCTCCATCCTGCCTCAGAGGGATGCTGCTATCTGGAGGGAGTCCTGCTACATAATCTATCTGCAGCATGTAACATCTGTAGAGATGTTATACTAACTTTTTTTATCTCTTTCTAAAGGACAAAACTGATCTTAAAAAGTTTGGAAACTGTGCTGTAAGCTGCATCTTTTATACATTCCCTTGATTGTTATAAAACTGTACTTTTCATGAGAAATGTTTCATCAAAGATGATTAATGCCAGTGTCATGGAGATCACAGTCTTTCCATCCATGTCTGGATGTATGTGGGCTAGAAATTTTTGTCCTGTTCTTCTATTACCTACACAGTTGTCTTGGTTTTCATATTAATTGGAGAAACTCACATAAAATAAAGTTCATTGAAATCATTCTAAGCTCCTACTTGTGTGTACTTCAGGCATACTCAGAAATCCACTTTGGAAGTAAACAAAAACCTATCACTTCTTACTGTTCAGGGTCTGCTAAAGGGATCTGAAAGCTACATTTGCATTAAATCCACAGCTTTGGACTGCAGTTTTACTACCAGTTGGAAACCAAGTCCAACTGAAGTGCAATATAGCTTTAGAACTCCCCTGATTTGAGCACTGAGCAAATTATACATAGAAATAATAAGAGAGGCTCGAAATCACCTCATTCAGGTAGAGAATGGTAAGTAGACATCTCCAGGCAAATTAGTTATGATAACAAGATGGTTATATTCGGGCTGGACTGTTCTCAGTGTGCTTATTAACTTGTTTACAGGCAATTGGCTCAGGTATCTGCACGCAGTACACAGCAAATTCTGTTCTGAAGGGGTCCATGCACCCTCTGGATCTCAATTTACTAAGCTGATTTTGGGAATACAATTCTCAGATATCTGTCTATATGTAGCTGAAGGTCACAAGGTTATTTTAAGGCTATGGATTAAGTCCCAGGATCCAGACACCAAACTGTGACATTTCAGTCCACAATATCAAAGAACTTCTGTTCTAGATGTAGATCTAGCCTTTACCAGTTTCTTCAAAATCACAGGAAGCCTTCAATATCTTAGATTTCCAATGTTCCAGCCCTCTCTAGGCATGAGTGGATGTACTTCATCATGCTAACTTGTCAGTACAGGTGAGATTTCTTCCTGACCAGGGCTTATACTGTATTAAAAAATATTATGCATTAAACA